AATGATAATGATAATGAGAACGATAATGAGAATGATAATTAATTATATGAAATTCCCCAACAAAATAACCAACCAAAAGTACTGGAATCAAGTCATAAAAGTACTCGCGAGAAGTAGAAAAATTACTTGCTCCAAGCATCAAAAGTAGTTGTGACAAGTAAGAAAAATGCTGACAGGAAGTAATAAAAGTACTTCCTCCTAGTAATTTCCCTACTTGCTTAGCAAATATTGTACTTCATCCAAGGACATGAAAAGTACTTGGGACAAGTAGTTTCGCAACTTTTCACAAGAAAACTTCTCCCAAGTAGAATTCAGTACTAGTGAGTAGTAACTTTTTTTTAGAGTGTACCTCAAAATTTGAAAAATGCAGTGAAGTAGTGAAAGGAAATCATATAACTTCCCTTCACCAAGTATGAATAGACTCAGTAGCAAGGCTCTGTGTTTTCGCTAGAAAACTAGATTAAATTACTATAAGAACTCATTAGAATTTACTGAGAAATTCTATTATTTTGTTGCTAATTTCCTTTACATATATCGCCGCCTTTCTGTGTCATTTTTGAACACTGATTCAATAGAAAACTTATCAATGGGTTCTTCACATCCTTATCACTCATTCTTTTGACCACTTGGGTTATTTTGTACAAAAATTCTTGAGCATAAACTTTTCAACTTTTTTATGCTGTATTCTTGCTTCTCATTACTAACTCCAAGAAACTTTTGTAGAAAAAAATTACAACCGATGTTCATCTCAAAATTTCTTGAATAATGATGAGCTTGATATGAGGGATAATTTTTAATAATTAAGAAACTTGAGGCACTTATGGTATTCACTTGAAGGTTTGTTTATATTTCATGTAGAATATTAAAAGATTTTCATCACTTTTTGTTTACATTGTCAATTGGTGATCGTATAAAAAAACACGTATAATTCACAAAAACTAATACATAGGCTATTTGATTAATCTTGTAAAAACACCAACTGATTTTATTGATACATTGTCTACTAATAATTTTTCTTAGAACGAAATAAAATATTGGCTGTATCAACACTTGAATACTAAATAATTTTGTGTTGAAATTTTAGGAGCCGGACTAAAATTCAATGTCACAGTTATGCTGTTACTGGCATTTTTTGGCCAAGAGTTTTATGGTTGAGCAGAGGTTTTTGTTTTTGCAAGAATTTGTTTACAAGTTGAAAAGAAAGTACTGGAAACAAAAAATGTTAGAAAAAGAAAAAAGAAGAAAATGTAGTAAAACGTAAGAGAAGGGATATTTTTCCAACATGTCTTTGTTGTAAAATTTGACAAGGAGGTGTGAACGACCTGACTAACGACGCAAACTGGTATATTTCTAGTCAACTAGAATAGAATCTTTGTGAAAAAGAAGATATATTTTGAATCGCTGCGAGTTGACATTCCGATTCAGTCTTAAGAATTTTACGCAATAACATCAAATGATTGTTCCTGTAAAAGAATAAACATATGCCTTTAAGTTTATATTCCATCGTCGTCTGATATAATGAATAATAATAAATAATTCAATTTCATATGAAAATTGAAATGATTGCTTGCATCGCACCCGAATTGCATAAAAATCAATATTTATTGATAGTAAAACATTGAAGGACCAAGAATGTTAAGTCTAATTTTACCAGCTTTGACTGATCAGGATAGGATCAGAAGTGACTGAGCCCTACCGAATCCAGATAACCTGTTCAGAAACTGGCTAGGTCCTTATCCGGGCGATCTGATCAGAAAATCTTGACCAATATTGAATTTGAAATTGATTTAGACCCAGACAACCTGAGCGAAATTTCTACTTGGAAACCAATAGAATTTTCACGTAAAGTCATTAGATGGTGGCCCGTCTTATTTTCCTCTCGTCAATTTCTCATATGCTACTTTTTCCCTTTCTAATTTTCTGATTCAATTTGTATATTTTGACGTACATTTGGCCAAAACAGTTATTGTTGATTGTAATGATAAGTGGGAATTATCCTTCTTTTGTAAGCCTCGACCGAATTATGATAACCCGGTCGTTTATTGATTTTCGAGTATGTATTGATTTTTGAGTGTGTATCCGAGTTTACTGAGAACGATTACATTGGCTATCTCACTCGTGTGAGCCACATTATCTCACTGTAATTTTTTATTCATTTTTGCAATTGACGTCTTTTTTCATCGATGAAGAATTGAAAAAAATTAATGAAATTCGTAATTGAAATTGTTTGTTTGTCTATTTTGACTGATTGAATTGCATGTAATATTCTGTGGACTGTTCTTGTAATATTCAATTTTTATAAACATGATTATGACTTGTATTAATTTTTTTTTCATTCACTTTACTATTCGTAGGGATTATTATTCGCTCAGGTATCAATGGAAAGAAGAGGAGACAGTTTGTTGTAGGAAAATTTGTCGGGGAATAAATGTCGAGGAAAAAGTGTCGGGGAAGAAAAGTCGCGGAACCTCATTAGATATCCCATTGAATTTTTCTCACATGTAGATCAGGGCCGATTTATAGATAAGTCTATAAGGTATGAGAGCAAGCTTTAGGTCTGCTCGACTCATCGCGAAGTACCATTCTACTACCGATACTATATTCTATTTCATTATGAATTGTAAATTTTAGATATATGGTAGCCACCCATTTCGAACCGCTAGCAGCCCGAGCTGCGTTTCCGTGCTGGGATGAACCTGCTCTCAAAGCCGAATTCGAAATATCTCTGAAGCATGCGAAAAAATACAGAGCTATCTCCAACATGCCTATAAAAGACCAAACTCCAGCTGAGGATGAGAAGATATGGACGATTTTCCACCGTTCTCCAGTTATGTCAACTTACCTGGCAACATTTGTACTGGCTCCTTATAAGACTCTCAACAATGAGCATGGAAATATGTCATTCTTTGTTCCGTCAGATAAGCTAAAGTTTACTGCAATTGTTTTCAAACTCAGTGCAAAAATTGTCAACGTATTGGAGAATTATACCGGCACCCCCTATTCCTTACCTAAACTGGACGCTGTTTACGTCCCTCAGTACTCCTCCGCAGCTACCGAACATTGGGGTCTCATCGCATACTCGTAAGTCTTATCGAACTATTTTTTATTATCAAGTATAATAATATAGTGGAAAGAGTGACCACACGGGTAGCCTGTAGCCTCGGCAGTCGTCCGAGCTAAGCATCGTTTACTCCCGAAGATTTCAGTTCCGGGGGAACGAATTCCACGCATTTAAATCATCCGGAAGCCCCTGCTCATACGTCGATGGTTTGACTGACGAAGAAGAGGAACAGAGAAAGAGAATCTGTGTGTTCTAATTCTCTCTTAAATTTTAATCATGTCGTGAAATTTTTTAATTCAAGGTTGGATCAGGACTTGGCATCAGGCCTTGTTCGAGTCTTAGAAATTGAGCTTCAATTCAGATCATCATTTTGGGGGCTGAATGAGGACTGATTCAAGCTTGGGTTCCAGCCCTTATTGAGAATTTTTTAACCTTGATTAAGGGCTTAATTAATGACACGCATGAAAAAATTCAATAGAAAAAGTTAACAAAATTCGATTTTTCTATGTAACTTATTCTTTTCTTATATTTTCTATAGAATTTGCTCGACTCAAATTTTCTAAGTTTTTTAAATTCTATTTTTCTTTTCTTCTCATCAAGAAAATCAAACGAAAATTTGAGCCGAGAAAATTCTATAGAAAATATCCCAATAAAACAGGTCAATAGAAATTCAATAGAATTTTCTAACGAATTCGATAGGTTTTTCTGTTAAATTTTTTCGTCCATGGAGCCTTGTTTCCGTCGTCAACTCCTGAGGACCGCTAGGCAAAGAGTAAAACAGTTCATGGCAACACAGATTTGGAGGAAAATATGTATAAAAGACCGAAATTTCATACATGTCCGCATAAAAACAAAAAATAAAAATGTCAAGTAATGTCTTCTCACTTAATGACCTCCACTCTTGCCTGTTTTCTCTACTTCCAGGAGGGCCATTTTGGTCGATCCTGACTTTGCCACGCATCGGCAGCTGATTACTGCTGTGTTACTAGCAGCCCATGAGCTTACTCACCAGTGGCTAGGAAATTTAGTGACCCCTGCGTGGTGGAGTGATCTTTGGTTAAGTGAGGCTTTTGCTGTATATTTGGGAAACAAAATAGTAGACGATGTAATTATTGATATCATCCCATTCCATTCTTTTTGGATCAATGAATCGATCATTCTTCTTAATAATTGAATCTATTCTCAATAGGGACTAAGTGTATACTGTTTCAGATAATACCCAATTTTCATGCCATGGATCTCTTCGCGATTGAAACCGTTAATGATGTATCATTCCCAGCAGAAAAATGGTCTAGAGATCGACGTCCCATCAGATGGATGCCGGATGCACCGCACGAAATCATGGCAATGTTTTCTTCTGTGACATATCGGAAAGGTGAATGCTTCGTTACTGACTTGATCAAACTGTTTCTTCTCAAATTTTTAATGAAGTATCATGAATATTGATCCGCGTATAACTCTTAATATTTCATGTTCAGGCGCTGCTGTAGTTCGAATGTTTGAGCACATGATAACCGAAGAGGCATTTCTTTATGGCATCAAGAAATATTTCGATAAACAGTAAAGAAAAATGTATCATTAATAATGAATATATAAAATATCGAAACTTACGAAAAATATAAATTTCCAGTCAATTTGGTACGGTAGTAACGAATGATCTATGGCAAGATCTTCAAGAAGGCTACAGTGAAAAAGAAGCACCACCTCATCAAAGTTTAAAAGAAATTATGAATCCTTGGGTAGAACAAACGGGATATCCACTACTGAGGGTCACGCGAAATTACAAAACAGGATGTATCAGTATCACACAGAATGATGCCATGAACCCACAATCAGGGAATCTTTGGACGATTCCGATCAATTATGCAACGACTTCACGGCCGGATTTTTCATGCACACGTCCAACACACTTTCTGCGATCTGCAAATGAGAGTCTCATACTTAATGGAATCGATGAAAATGATTGGCTCATTCTGAATATTCAACAAACAGGTATGGTGTTTTACAAAAATTCATATCGCTAGTTACTGACGATAAAAATCGGTATTATTTCCATGGACCTGATGACTGGTTTTTCCGCCAATTTAGACAATGGGTTATTATTTTCATCTCCTCAACTCACTCATTCCCGTAGTAGAAAACAATGTTTTTATGTATCTAGCTGGACGTCCAACACTAGAAAATAAATTAGACAAGTCATTTTCCACGAACCGATTCCTTTTCAATCCTGTTTACGAACAGTAAGGAACACATTGGAATGGCAAAAATGGATAAGAAATTGTATCAATGGAACATTACATAAACAGGCCTACGATTTATGTTTTTACAAAAGTGACGTTCTAATGTGTCGGAATATATTTCTCACTCCCAGTGATGTACAAAATTTCTTGTAGCTGACTGCAAGTAATGTGAAATGCCATTCAATCATGCCTAGAAACGGGAATAAAGAAGGTGTTACCTTTCGTTATAAATCATTTTGAATAGATGGTGAATTTCGTAAATCTCACGAATGAGATTGCCCTGTAATATGAGACACATAATTGATATCGAAATCAGACACTATAAGGAAAGGATGGAATATCGAAGATAAATTTTCTTGACCCGTTTCAGTACGGACTTATTATAGTTTTTCAAAATGAAGTTTCCGACCTGCGGCCGTGGCTGTGTGGTTGGAATATGGGATTGGCACGCGGGGGATCCGGGTTCGCTTCCCGGCTGCGTCGCCGAATTTTCTGACATTCTCAATCTCACAGTTTCATTCTCGAGCGAGAGTCTCGTAAAAGAAAACTGTACCTGGGCAGATTTTTCCTTCAAGTGAGGTTTTCGCTCGTCCTTCAACGAATGTAGTATAGGAGTTTGGGGGATTGGATAAGAGAAAATTGTAAAAAACCGAGAGGGTATACGAAAGAGAAAAAAAGTGAAGTAGTTATCAATTATTGACTCGGTACGTATATGAGTTCTTAAAGTGATGCGCAGAAGCTATACGAAGAAACCATTAAATTTTGCAAACTACTTTTTTTTGTCGATTTCGATTAAATATATCACAGTTATTTGATAATGAATTTTGCAGGATAGAAATTCTTGAATCAAAATCGTCCATAGTTCGCTTAAATTTGAATGATAAAAATGATAAAGAGAATCCCATCAAACTTTCAATAGAGTTCTAGTGGGATTCCTATAGAAATTCAATGAAATTTTCCACTAAACGCGTTAGGTTCATCATTGAACTATTCATGTGTGTGAGGGCAATATCAGCAACTCATACGTTCGTGATAATCTATATTTCAGGTTTCTACCGTGTTGACTACGATTGGGAAAATTGGAAACGTATCGCTGCATATTTAAACTCGGAAAATTACCACAAAATTCACGTACTGAATCGTGCACAATTACTCCATGATGTCGCATATTTTGCTGAAACAGACGAACACTATTATGAGTTACTGATGGATATGGCTATGTACTTACGTAGGGAAACAAATTTTTTGCCTTGGACAGCTATTGACAAAGTCATGAACCGATTTGCAATGCCTCTGATGAATACACCCACCTTCGACGTCTTTAAAAGTTTTATGTTACATATTATGAATAATATAGTCGATCATATTGGTTTCGAAGATCGTCCATTTGTCGACAATAACTTAGTTTATTTGGCAAGAGTTGAACTTTTGCCGTGGGCATGTGCTTTTGGTCATGAGGGGTGCAACGCTATAGCTTCTATAAAACTAATGGAGATTCTGAATGGCAAAATGAAGAAATCGTGAGTCATTTAAAATCACGGAGAACATGGTTATAATCATGACCATATAGTGTATTGTACGTTCTAGTGTTCGTACTGAGCATCACGGATGGATTTACTGCACTGCTTTAGCTCAGGCCAATGAAACGCTTTGGGACCTGGTAATGAACGCTCATTGGGCGAATTCTCTTAAACACCGGCCGTTCAAATATTTGGGATGTACAAAAAATCATTATTTGATTAAAAAGTACCTCACCCTAGCTTTCGCTGCCAATGACAGTCGATGTTCGAGTGACGTCTATGATGGACTGAATTCAATGATTACGGGATCAGCGGAAAATTACAATTTTGCTCTTGATTATTTAATTGAGAACATTCATCAAATTCATAAATAGTGCGTATTTATAGTACCTAAAGAATAGTCATATGTTAAAAACAAACTACAATACAACTTTGATATTTCAGTTCAGATGAGAGAAATTCAACATACGAAATTGGGGATCTTTTTCTGAGGTTTGCCGAATTGACCAAAACACTGAATCAGTTCGAGAGGGTAAAAATATAAGTCAATAAAATTCATATTTCTATCAATAGCATTTTATTTGAAACAGAATCACTATGACAACATTTTCTTTCTTGCATCTTAATTGTTTTTTCAGTTGACAAAATTCATCAATAAACAAACCGAACACGGAAAGATGAACGACGTCATAAACATCATTGACATCGCAAGGACTTCCATGCGAAATTCGGAAAAGTTATCTACAATATTTAGTTCCATTGTGGAGAAACCGTATTTCCTGAATTTCATACAAAATTGAAATTGAAAGAAGGAACGTCCATCACGATTCTTCGCACGATCTAGACATTGATACAATAAAATAATTCTTTTTTCACCTGGATCGAGCGTCAGATCTCGGATTGTGTAAGAGGGAAAATGTGGGTCCTCTAAACATCCTCTATTTTTCAATTATATAATACATATATGAAGCGATTATTCAGGAGAAATATCGTGAAATACATATATATAAATTTTATCGAAACATTCAAATGTAAAACTCCCATAAATTGGATATAATTTATAATTGTTATATATTTTGAACTACGCTCAATGTATATTTCCGATATAAATGTTACATACTACCCTTCAATTCGGAAATAGATTATAGGACATGAGATATACTCAAACTACTTCATGTATAAATAAAATATATCACCCATGTAATTTGGAAATGTGTTTCATGGAATATATTATGGATATATTTTTTATCTGATATTTGCCGCCTGTATCAAGTATATAAAATCCATATATTTCACATATATAAATAAGAGTAATTTTTCCGTGGGGGTTAAATTAGAGAGAGAAAGAAAGACCATGGACGTATCTACTTACAATTACAGCTGTATCGAAGATACAGCCCCTTGCAATTTTTTTTCATAATCACGTTCAATAAATTTTCTCGAGCCAACGGAGTTAAATTCACTAGTAATCCCTCAGAAGAAATTCACCATTGATCCCTAATTCCCTATTTAAGGTGAAAAACTACTGAATATCGAGTTTCCTCCATGATTACTTGATTACGTGACTTATTCAATAATTTTTCTCCAACTTTTTTCCCTATTTTTCCTTATTAATTTTCTCCGTGTAAAATTGACGCCAGCTACTATTCAATGAGAATACTGGACGGAGACCATTGTATTTATAGAAAGGATCTCTACTAAACAACCAATCCTAATTCGAATATCTGATCAGTCTTCTCCTGCAACTATGAATGGAAAGATCATCTGGGCAAGTATTCTCGCTTCTTGGTTAATTCAAAGTGAACACTCCGAAATCTTGACAGAGTATATGTCACCACCACTATTTGACCAGGTTAAATGTAATTACCATGGTCAATAGGCCTTTAGAATTCAGAACACAAATGCCAACAGACGATGCAAGCACAATACAGTCGTAGCACGAGCAGTTCAAGTGTTTCAATGGCGCGTGAGTCGGTATGGAAACGGACGAAAGCATATTTTCGCAGGTATTTCAGTTCTATCCATTACTGAATGTCTATAATATGGAGTCCAATTAAATGAACATTCAAGCCATTTCTCTCAATCAAAGGCTCAGTAAATTTATTATGATCCGTTAAATCCTCCCATAGAATGCGAGGCAAGAAGGTTGGCGGTTGGATCGCCCTTTTACTTCTTTTGATGTTCGGAGAAGAATGTTCTGCTTATTCGAGCAGTGATGTTCTCCTTCCAAATTATATTATTCAATCTTCATATCAGAGTGAAATCGAACGACATGTCATAGCATGGAAGCTGCCAGTGAATGGCATAGGAGATAAAATCATAGAAATATTCTACGGATCTTCCAATGTTATGGATTATATTGATGCAGATGGTGCAGCTCTTCTTATGACAACTGAAACCAATATCGCACCAAAAGCTCATAAACAAATAAATATTATGGCTAATTTCGATTCAAGAGAGGTACGACGACATTGGATTGAGGGAGATAATGGAAGGTAGGCATAATCATTCTATTATTCATGATTCCACAAGCCATTCAAGTATTTGTGTATTCTTCCATAATAGACTGGTTACGGAATCCCCACCGAAGTGGATAGACGCTAAAGATTTCACGGCAATAATATTCACAACGGGCATTGCCTCGCTAGGATAAACCAGGCCTCGAGGCAGAATTCAATTCCCCGCTTTTACAACATTCAAATTGCGCCTCAGCTTGTCTACGGAAAATAGAGGCTCATGATAGAGAAACGTGAACAAATTTTGACATTAAGGCAAATAGACAATTACGGCATTACGTCTTCATGACGTCAATTTTTGTAAATGATGAGACGTAGAAAAAAATTTAATGGAAAAATTAGTGCTTTCGTTAGCAAATTCTATGGAGCATCTATTGGTATTCAGTGAGGGCTCTCTCAGAATTGAATCCAAATTCTTTTAGAATTTTATTCGATTTCTAAATATAACATCCCATCCCATGAATTCGCTAAAGACCAAAATCACTTTGATGAAAAAAATTGGTTGATAATAAAAATAATCAAATGTGTATTGAAATGTTCACGTAACGATTTAACTTATTGAATAATGTGTTAAATTCAATAAAACGAAAATTAAAACCTTAGTATTGTTATTTTATGGCTCCCAGTGCTCGGAAATCTCGCTTCATGTGAGCGTGTCGTGGGGGTAGTGAAAGACAGTCGCATTTTCCAAATTGGCTTCCCCTATTCCCTCATGCGTGCGACTGTAACGAGAGTGTACTGTAATTGCACCATTATGTGATTTATTTACATGAAAAACGGAAAATTTTCGTCAAATGCAGTTTATTATCATTATTACGTTGACTTGCTGTCGATGCAGCTCAATTTACTAAGCTAGCATGCCACGCGTGTCCCTGAAAACCCCAAAATCGCAAATACAGCGCCATTAAATTGTCTTTTTGGCCACTGAATTCATTCTTTTAAAATATTTCTTTAGTCTCGTCTTAAATGCCAGTCGGGCACATTAAAAGAGAACGAGCTCCTTGAATCCTCACGCGTGCGTAATATCGGAATCAGTTTATTCGTCCTGCCCGACGTACAAGTGATAAAGGATCAAAGTAACTAAATTTCACAAAATTATGCCCAGCTTCGTAGCGCCAATTTAATACGTTTCCGTGAATTTCACAGCGCAAAGACACAATTATCAAACATATTGATCAAGTTAAGAACATAATCATAGTGCAATAACTTAGTGAAGAAAATCTTCTAATTTGAATTACATATAAATGAAAACAAAAAAAATTATTCTCAAAATGTCAAGGATTATTTGCAACATTACTTTGAATTAATTGAACTATTGGTTCTTACAAAATTTACAAAAAAACTGTTAATTTGGTCTTTCTCATTTTCATGAAAACCATCAATTTAGAATAAAAATCATTAAATTAATTTGTCTACTTTTCATTCTTTTATTGCATCGTTCTCTCCCTCCTTCGGTTTCTTTTCTTTTGCAGTAAACTATGAAATCGATATTATTCGAATCTTCATCTTTTTATTTTAAACCCTGACGTCATGATTATTATTATTCAAGTTCTTTTATTAAACATTAAGAAACCGAACAATAGATGCAGATGCACCTAGTGCTTCAAAGGGTAACGATCCTCTAAACAAAAATGTTATTGTATAACTATAACAAGAAAATAAATGAGAACATATTTAATTTGATTAAATTTGTTATTTAAAATTTTTCGCGTGCTATGTACCATGTAATATTATGACAAATAGAATGAATATTCCGTCCAACAATGTGTACATATTTAAATTCATATCAATCAACTCTTGATTACAAAATTCTTTGAGAATACAACTGGAAATATATGTAGAACAGAACATCTAGGTATTGTCCTCAGTCAAATATATTCATCCTGTAAGCGAATGCCAAGTGAGTGTTCTATAACCTTGTTACGGTCACGTCGTATTCCTACAATTTAACCAAAATTAAATGTAATTACCTGATTCAATAGATCTTGGAAGAGGAAGGTCATAAGTGGCAATGGCTGTTGCTACTGGTACAGTCGTATCTCGCACGGTCGGAGCACTTCGTTTATTGCACTCGAGTTGATGGTGCGCACGTCAGCTTGGAAACGGACGAAAGCATATATTCGCAGGTATTTCTGCATGCATCTTTATCCATTTTTTCCTTCAAATATGGTTATTTAATCTAGTTGCTTCATCAATGCAATGAGTTTGCATCCATTTCTTCCATTTCAAATTGATTAAAAAAATATCATATTCCATTAGACTTCACCCAGTCTCATTTTTGGATGGAATGATTCAACCATATTTCAATTCCGTCATCAGTTAGTGCTTATCACTTATGTTGCAGAAAAAAGATTAGAATGCATATTGAAAGACACATAATAGCCAACATTTTCCATCAATATACTGTGGTGTACTCACTGGAATTTATTTGACACTGAGAGGTCACAGTCTAATTTAAATTGTTTGATTTCATGATCCAATTCTAGAATGCGGGGCAATAAAGCGGGAGGATGGATTGCTCTTCTGCTTCTTTTGATACTCGGAAAAGTGAGTGATTCTAATGCAAATATTGATGGAAGTATTGACTCTCGTCTCCCGAAAAATTCTGTTCCATCCTCCTATGAAATAAAAATCGAACCGCATATGATTCCCGGAAATTTCACATTCAATGGAGAAGAGGACATTGTTCTTGCTGTCTTGGAAGAGTCTTCGGAGATCACTCTTCATGCCCATTCTGATCTGTTCATCAAAGCAGATGCTACTGTTTTGATCGGGAAAGATGGCAAGTCTGTGAAACCGAAGAATCACATTCAGCAAAATAGCACCGATTTCTTGATGATCAGTTTCGAATCGAAAATCGCTGCAGGAAATTATACATTGCATTTAGAATTCATCGGCAAGATCAATAATGGGACTGATGGCGTTTTCAGGTCATCTTATCTAAAAGATAAAAATGAAAATGTGTAGGTACACTCACAGAAAAAAAAAGTTTTTGGTTTCCAGCACCACGCTACTGAAATCCAGAACAATAGGACTGGAATCTAGAACCGTGGATCATTGAAATTAAGAACACTGGGTATTCAAAGTAAGAACCATCGGGTGCATTCAAATATTGCGTCTCACGATGGAGGAGGGGAGTTCTGTAATTTCCTGACAATTCGCGACTGAACGGGGGGAGGGGTCGTTGCACAAGTTCTGACACCATAATTAATGAAGATAATTTGAGGAGACAAGGATGTCAATTTAAAAACGTCATTGTTCTTGAGTTCAGTATCCAACGGTTCTTATTTTAAGAATCTAAAATATGGAATTTCAGAACCCAAATTGAAATTAGATTTAATTAAAAATTACCGAGAACTAAACCTTCGTCTCAAATTCTCAGAGAAATTCCACTGGAATTCAGTACTTTTTGTCTCTGAATTTTTGGAGTTTGTATAGATGGTCGTCTCGTATTACTGTTCTTTGGTCCTTGAGTGATCAAATATATTTATTGTTGTTTGATGGGGTTTGATGGTGTTTGTTAGTCTATAATTTAACACTTTTCACATCTCTAGGTGGATCTTATTAAAATTTAATCCCTTTGAGACATTTAATTCATTAAATATAGATGCTGAAATAGATGTACGGGATTATACCCTCACTCGACCGTTCGTTCATACGATTATGAATAGATTCTTTCAGATTATTAATCTATCAGTTTTTAAGGTGTTGATATAAATTACATTATTTTTTGGCACCTGGTGGAGTAATTATCAAACGCTACCAGTTTTGGCGTAACTCAGTATTCACGATGAAGACGTAGCTGGTGTTGAATTCAACAAAGACATGTACGTAAAATTCAATATACCGAAATTATACATAAAATTTAATTGCCAGTAGATGCCGCTACACCATCAAACGATTCCATTAATTTGGAAGAGATTCCATAACAAGGGGTGCCTAGCTGCTGAAACCGGATTTCAGTACCATGCACTGGAATCCAGAGACTGTTACTGAGACCAGAAACTTTTTTTTCTGTGCTTCTTATACTCACACTGCAAAAACTAATGACTGACAGCGATCTGAATTCAAAATACCGAAAATATTCGAATGGTCAACAGTGTTTTCAATTCGATGAACTGATGATGGTTTCAGATATAATGTGTGTTTGAAAATGAATCGGACATTTTTTATAACTAAGAAATTCCAGTAACTTATTTGCCCATATATCGCATGTCTGTCAAGATGACTCATGTTCGTGAGTAAATTGAATTCAGTAACGAAGTGGTCAAACGGTTCAAGTCGATTTTGAATATTCGTGAGTTTTCAATGAATATCTCGCAATTTAAGGCAGATGGCAAAATTTCTGTTATAACCTTTTTGGTAGAGCACATTGAGCGCTTCAAAAAAGATATATATGAAAATTTCGCTATCTCCTTTAGATTTGGAGATATTCATCGAAAACTCAGCTAAGAGCTAAGTCGACTTGACCCGTTTGACCACTTTGCTACTGAATTATTGGAGACTGCCTATAGTGGAATGAATCATTCCATGGGAAATTCATTCAATTATTAAAAAACAATCAAATACGTTAGAGCCATTGAAACAATATGGACATTATTATTGTCTGAATGGGATTTACTTTCATTTAATTGAGACACTTTTCAATTTTGCCCGGCGGCTTGGCGCAGTGGGTAAGTTCGTTGCCTCACATGCGAAAGGTTCTGAGTTCAAATCCCAGCCGGGTAGAACGGTGCGATCTAACCATTTAAAGTCTTGATCATCATCGCAGTATACCCTAACTGGATCGAAGCGATGTAAAATAACGATAAAAAAAAAACTTTTCAATTGGTAAACAATATCTACAAAATTTTCCTGAAAATGTCTACAATAATGTCTGTCCCTCGGGCATTAGTTTTTGCAATATCGTCTGACTAAATTTTTACTAATCAAAATATTGGTGATAGATGGTTCATCGCTACCCGTTTTTCACGAATTTTCGCGCGAAGAGCCTTCCCTTGCTGGGATGAACCAGCCCTGAAAGCTACATTCAACCTATCTCTCAAACATTATCCAAACTACACGGCGGCATCTAACATGCCAATACGAAGGAAAGTAGAAACCGGCGATGGAAAAGTTTGGACCAATTTTCAGATTACACCGAAAATGTCAACATATACAATTGCGTTCGTAGTCTCCGATCTGAGCTGTATCTCAAATACCAATAAGCTGTTGAATATGTGTGCCGTTAAGCAAGCCCTCCCAGGGTTGAAGTTAGCCCAAGTAGTGCAGGATAAGGCATTGGCTCTATTTAATCAATATACGGGGATGCCGTTTCCTTTACCAAAACTAGACAGCTATATTTTACCGCATGAGCAACGAAGTGGATCCTTGGACAGTTGGGGACTCATCCTCGATCGGTAAAAATGATTTCAATTTTGACAATATACGGTACCTCATCTGAGAAAACCAATACACATTTTCATCATGAGTAACTATATTTTCGGACGTTTTTTCCCATATTAATTCCCGTAGGAGTTTCGGATACTTTTACCGAATTTACAAATTAATCATCATTTTTGAGGGCTCAAATGTATATCGTTTTAAATGTAACGAGAAAGATCCCACGCTTGAGCGCGCGTGTTAAAGACAAATCGTGACACGAAAACTGAAAGCCGACCGAAGTCGAATACGTGCGGGCGGATCCGAATATTCAACCAATGAAATTCGAGGAATGAGCGTTACGCTACAGCTTACGGCGTATGTTCTTTTTAGAATAGGAATATTTATCCGAATTTTTAATTATTGTTCTGAAGATTCTTAAGCTTGATGAACGGAATAAATATTTCTCCCAGATTTCCAAAATGCAACGGTCTATACTACTTCATTCTAGAATGCTTATATTTCTTGATGAATCACAGAAAAAAAGATTGTGGATTTGGTAATCAAGTGATTATTAATTTGGTAATCACCCAACAGCCCATTATATAATCACTCGATTACGGAAGTAAAATGATCTCAGGAATTGAACAGAGAGAGAAACAATTTAAGAGTCAAGTAATCATAAGGATCAGATGAGAGACAAGCAAAACGTAAGGGTTAAAGGCAAAAGTAAAAGATGGTCTTAAGCGTTTTATGTTTACACTCGGCCGTCATCATTCGCTCTATTTCACTCTTCTGTTCGATCTTTATAACCACTTCTCTCGTTTTTGCATTAGAACCTTATAATTGATTCTCCATTCTTCCATTTGACCCTTATGACCGTTTCGCTTTTCTGTGCAACTCCTAAAATCATTTCATTTCTGTAATAAGATGATTACCAATTGAATAATCAGATAATTACGAAATTGATCATCATTACCCAATTTAAAATAATGTGGTTACGAATTGGCAATCATGTTACCAATTTGGTAATGAGTTGATCACCCCACTATTAGAATTTTTTTGAAATTTCATATAAGATATTATAGTAAATCTCATGAGAGTGACATTGAATTGAATTTAGGGAAAAAATGGTTATGAAATTTCAAGTTTTAAGTAGAATTCACGGAAATTCATGAGTTTTCAGTAGGAGTGCGATGTCAATTTCACAACCTGAATGAATTTCCAGTGGAACATGAATATTCAGATACAAAATGTTGGGAATTTTAAATTTTTCCCTGAATTTTCCTGATTTTTCTGAATTTCCGCTGAATAATTGAACTAAAAAATTAAATATTTTAGTGATTTCTGGATCATTTGAAGAGAAAATCAATGGAATATTTGATTTTTCAATGACAAGATTTCCTGAAATTTCAGTGGAACTTGAAAACGATAGAAATTTCCGCAATTTGGCACAGAAAATTCAGACGAAAATTTTTAACAGTGCAAATCGATAATCTTTTTCTCCGCAATAGATTAATTTTTGGCATAAAATCATGTTAAGGTGTCATCTTCCTCAATTCAAGGACTTGATAATTTCTTCATCCTAAGGAGGAGTTTGATGTAAGAAGATGCGGTCATTTCTCTTCAAAATTATTGTGATTGAGCGCAGGCTACAGTACATTTCAGGAATGTTTGGAGAATTTCCTTTTCATGACTTCTGTATTCATTCAATACGAAAAGAAATCACCTGATTGCCAAGTCGTTAATCTTTTTTTCCCTTCTAGATTCCTTTTTGGCTTAAAATCATGTTTAGGTCTCATTTCCAATGAATGTAAGTATTTGATAATCTCTTCATCCTAGGGAATCTCGCATGGTCATGAAGGACGACTCACCATACTGTGCGAAAGAATATGCAACATTATTGCTCATTCATGGTTTGGCGTATCAGTCACTTGTCAATTTAGTCAGTCCAATTTGGTGGACCGATGTATGGCTGAATGAAGGGCTCGTACAGTACTTGCGGTTGTACATTGAAAACCAGGTGATATTCCATTTTTTGTATTCTGGATAAGATGAGCCATCAGGGCAAAAATCACATTTGTTTCATTTCAGATGCATCCAGAATGGGATTTGATAAACGAGTTTGTGGCTGACACAAGTTTATCGAGGGATAGAAAAGACTGGTTGTCTTGGGAACCGAAAAAATTTGTGGATGAAAAATTTAAAGTGCCTCTTTGTGATTATATTAAGAGTGCAGCCGTAATGCATATGCTGTCTAATACTGTTTCCAAAGAAGTTTTCCAAGAAGGTGTTCGCATTTACTTTAAGAAATAGTAAGCATTCGTCAAAAACTCAGAAATATTGTATACATGCCAAACACATGCCAAATTCCGATGGAATTCCTTGAGAAAATTCTTTGAAATTTCAATGGAAATATTACTTGTTTTTTCTACTGAAATTTCCAAACTTCTTACCGCAATTTGTAATAGAAAATTTTTAACAGTGTGAGAACATGCGGTGATTTCACCGCTTAAAAATCGTTGCGAGTGAGAGCAAACGACAGTTATATTTCGAGAATGTTCAGAAATTTTCCTTTCCATGACTTCTCCATTCATTCAATATGAAAGTCCTAAAATACTCATGGCGTTAGCTACAGGAATTTGTTTTGTGATATTCAGGTCATTTTATCTCTCAGTGCGTGATCTAAATAAAAGTCATCTCGATATTTTATAGCCAATATGGAGCAGCATCACCAGATGACTTCTGGAGTGTGATGCAAGAAACCTACGATAAGGCTCAAAAAACCCCCAAAATTAACATAAAAGATATAATGAATTCATGGACGAGTCAAACTGGTTATCCCATGGTGAAGGTGGTCAGGGACTATGAAGCCGGAACAGTGACCATTCATCACCCCAACAAGACCCCTAGTCAGCCGTCATCGAGATGGTTTATTCCAATCAATTATGCAATCAAATCTCATCCGAATTTTGCATCCACTGTACCCACCCATTGGTTGAAACCTGGTGATGGTCAGCTCGTCATCGATGGTTTGAACAAGGATGACTGGATCATCGTGAACATTCAACAATCAGGTGAATAACTTCATTATCTATAGCCTCGAAAAGTATAGGTTTATTTTACCTTTCACTACTCATTTTAAGGCTACTATGGAGTTGATTACGACGACGCCAGCTGGGAGAAGATCATTCAATATTTGAATAGTAAAGACTACACAAAAATACATGTCTTAAATCGCGCACAATTCGTGTCAGACTTGTTTCATGGCGGCAACTATATGACACTTTTAAAGTTGACCTCATACCTTTCTCGTGAAACCGAGTTAATTCCATGGAGAGCCGGAAAATTGGCGCTTTCATATTTCAAACACCATTTATCGGATGATGCTGAACTCCAGCAAAATTTGAATGTAAGTATAAAAAACTAAAGTTGATATATCACTTACGGAATATTCATGGCAGGAAAACTCTGTATACGAAAAAATTTCCTGGGTTGTTTTTAAGGAAAACCAGCATTTCTATAGAGTGATCAATATAGAGTGATAATTGTTTACCTTAGATGATTCACGAATTTCTCGATATAACGATTCGATTCTGTTCCATTACAGGAGTAATAATAAAAAAAAAACAGAACAGAAATCTACAAACCTGTCAGTGCGCTTGGAGTTTAATGTTTAATTGCATGTGAATGTATTAAATGAATTTCACGTGTTTTTTTAGTGTGTACAAGAAAAAATTGAATAGAAAACATAGTGAATTCGTTAGACAATTCTATTGGATTTCTATGGAACTTTCTATTAGTTTGTAGCCAATTGTATTGAAATGTTGAATCGAAAATATTCTATAGGAAAAGTCTATAGAGTTCGAATTTGCTATACAACTTACTCTATTATAGTTATTTTCATCACAAGGTCCACAAAGTATGTTCTGACGAATGTAGCTTTGTAGGCCGAGCCGAAGGCGAGATAGTATATTGTGTCATTAGGACCGTAGACGGAGGTTTGCGATGAGTGCTGCTAACTCACACGAATCGCAAACCGACGTCACGGTCCGTATGACACATACTATTTTTTGTCATGAAGGCCCGTTGAAGGTGAGGGGGAGGGGAAGGGGAGGGGGCGCAGAAGCGGGGTCCAGGGGCCGCAGGCCCCGGTGGGGGGGGTTGGGGGGGGCGAAGCCCCCCCCACTGTAGAAAAACGAAATGACAAGTGAAGAGAAAATATTGAAGAAAAAGAGATGCAAAATCCTAAATTGAGATTCGAAAGAACGAATGCAAAAGTTGTAATTCACGGAGTCTGTCAAAAACATTCAAAAAACATCTAGATGAGAATGGAAATCTTCCTCCTCCTGAAATGGAAATTGCAACAAATTGAAAGAATAAAAAGAAGGATTAATCATTTTTCTAAATTTATTCTCATGAGAAAATCAACGTGTGAACATCTACAGTTTTTACAACTACAACTACAACTACAACTTTTCTTTTTCATCGGTCCTCTTCTTCTCACAACATACTCAAATTTTTCATCACATTTTAATAGAAATATATATATAATCTATTCAAAATAGATATATAACGAGAAAGTGAATATAATCTCTTTATTAAACTAATATTTTGACAATATAACCCTCAAGTTACGACTGACTCCCTAGCAACGGAATAACAACTCCTGATGTCATCGGCAATGACGGTGGCGCATTGTATTAGTGGTGAACGATCCGCCGAGTTTTCAAGCGAGTGACAGCGATAACCGCACACTTCATGTTGTATTCCTACGAAGGTTTTGTGGGTTGCCCATCTAGAAACTGTATGTTTTTATTGTCCTTGGGCTGCTAACTCGAGTTAACCATACCTGTGCTTCGTTTAACGGACCTGGTCTGTTAAACGCAATTTAGCTTGCCTCAAGACAGCTATAGTAGGCGCTACCTAACGGGCCTGAATGACGAAAAAATACTTTTGGACCGTGTGATGAATGCAATTTTTCGTCTCACTTCGCTCGGTTAGATCGCGGTTTACCGGGCCTTCTCACGAAAAGATATTTTCGATAGAATTTCTTGGACACTTTGACCGAGGAAATACTTTAGACAATATCTCAATAAAATAAATTCCATAGAAAAATCGATTTCTAGTGACTTTTTCTACAGAATATTTTCTATTGAATATTCCAATAAAATCGTGCCAAAAAGTAATAGAAAGGTTAATAGAAATCCAATAGAATTGCCTGGCGAATTCGCTAGGTTTTTCCATTAAATTTTTTCGAACTTGCGGCTTAGTTTTCGGAATGTTATAGTTAATTGAAATAACCTTCGTTAGTTTTCAATGTTTCTTTCAAAGGCCTTCTGTTTCATGGAACAATTTTCCAGTAGTAATCCCAATAGTGCTTCAAAATTATCGGATATTTTTCGATAGCTTCGTTGCCTAGAAACGATTGTGTTAAATTTTGCAAGTTTAAAATCCCCAGTGGGAAACTGGGATTTTTCTGCGAAGTTTGACACACTTGCTCCTAGGCAGGGAAGCTTGAGGAAAATATCCGATTAATTTTGAAGCACGAGTGATATTCTACGGGTTATTTTTTCACTCGGATTTCGGCCAAGCAGAGTGCAGTGAACCTCCGGATACATTTATACAGCCATACATTTACAATCCATTTTTTTGTTTATCTGTCATACAGAATATTAAACGTGAAATGCGTTGAAAGATGAGAAACATTTGAAAAGCTACTAGAGAATTTCCGTCGGACATTTTTTACAAATTTCCGAAATAAGACTGTTTGACAGCCTCAAATACTGTGCTGTGATTGGCTGAAATCCGAGTGAGAAAAATAACCGAAGAAATTTCTCCCGGAAATCTGTATTCTCGAATACTAAATTTCCGTATGGCTTTCTGTAAAGAAAACATCTACAAGAAACATTAGAATTTCAGACCGGATCGTTCTGTAACTGCTGCTGTAGGATAATCTTGTTCGTTTTAAACTCCCGTTCTTGAAATATTCTAGAAATATGTTCAACTCCTAATGAAACGAGTACTCGAAGAAGTTGGATTCGAGGATCGCCCTTCAGATTCAAACTTAGTGAAAAAGAAAAGGTCTGAGCTGATGAATCTCGCTAGCAAATTCAATAATACTAAATGCTTGGAGGCGCAATCGAAGAAAGCATTGGCTCATTTGGAAGGGAGGTGCGTATAATTGTATTATCAGGAGTCAAATGATTCTAGAAACATGTTCCCTGCAATGATAATTACAGAGGGTATCAGAGCCTCGATTACTGGCAAATTTGTTACGGAGCATCAGATGAGAAAGTTGCATCTCTATTAGAGAAAAAAATTGAGGACGGAAACACTGAAGCATATTTCAGTGCCCGAAGCTGTTCACGGAATACAACTTTCTACGAGAAGTTCATCAAGAAAATTGCATCCAATCAGACTATAGCCAAAAATACCACGCGACTGGCAATTATTGTTCTTGCTGAAAAGACTGTCGAAGGATGGGACTGGGGGATAAACTATTACATGCAGCATTTTGATCAGTTGTTGAAGGAGTGAGTAGATTCACAGAAAGCAATACAATGCGGACATCCTTATCCAGTCATGTCACATAATTGATATGACTAGCAATGGGATTGAGTTCAACCTAAGATGAAGCACTCAATCATTTTCTTTTATAGTTATGGCCAAACCGATGTGACTTTCATGCTGAACCATTACATTCAGAGAGCTGCAACTCCTCAGCGATTGGAAAAGGTAAAGCACTTCAATTACTTTCAGTTCAGCCAACAATCTGAGGCACTGATCAAACATGGAATGTTCTTTTAGATAGCGGAATTTATCAATGAACACCAAGATCATTTCGAAGCTTCCGTGAAAGAGGAACTCTCGAAGAAATCCAAGATGTTTGAATGGAGTAAAACAATGGCTCCACTCATGAATGACTGGCTGAAGCAGCAACTTATTTTAATGGCAGAGACCACGAAAGCTTGAATAATATGAAGCGCTTCAATATGAATGAGAGTAGTCTTTCGATGTAGCGCGTTGCCGTGTTAAACTTATGGCAGCCGGGTGACTCTACATAGAGATCAATGAAAATAAATAACCATTACTATCATATCGATTTTTGTAATTATTTAATGGCCACTCACAGTTTCTGTAATGCTACTGATGAAAAAATCTGCAGATGGTTCCAGTTTTGATTCAACCGTAATTTTACGTAAATACGTCTATAAACATAATTTTGGAGAAAACTGCTGTTTCCTCTAACCCTTTGGGAAAGCTCCGAATTTTCTCCATTATAGAGAATCTTTCCTGGCAACTTTCCGAAACTCACAAAATTTCTAAAATTCTCGAGGTTTTAGAATTTTCCAGAAAGTTATAGGATTTTCCACAAGTTTGATTATAAATAATCATGTTCGAATTGAATTTCCATTAGTTTTTGAGCAATAGCCATTCGTTTTTTAACCTTTTCTCGCAAATATCTCGGAAAATACCCAACCGATTTCAATAATTTTTTTTCAAAATATTCGGCATTTGATTGATTCTATCTAAATCAATCAAAACATATATACCCGTTCATACAAAGTTTTTAAGATATTTGGATTTTTCTGTTTTTGACTTGAAATCCTTGTTCGCGCTCTAACTTGAGTAACAATTCAGATATCGACTTGAAATTTGGCATGAAGCTGTCTCTTATTATCGCAAGAACCTGTATGGAAGATGGGCTCAATCAGTCAACTAGTTTCGAAGATATTCAACTTTGTATGTAAACCTAATGTCTTGAATATCTCAATAACGAGTCAACCGATCTCAATGATTTTTTTTTTCAAAATATTCGGCTCGATATCCTCGATCTAAATCAACCAACACATATATACCCATTCATACAAAGTTTTTGAGATATTTGGATTTTTCTGTTTTTGAGAATACTCAGTCGAATATACTCAGTAGAATATGTACAGCCGCATGGCTGCAGTCGCCTACTTGTTTTCCGTCACCTCTCGTCGAAAAACCCAAATGGAAAATACAAGAAAGAGGGTAAGTATGATTCGAAATAGTTTATTCGATTGAGAAGTCCTTTTTCTTCCAACACCACGTTTCATGATCGTCCAGGAGGCTTTCAAGATTCATCCGCTGGTAGGTCAGAAAGCAATTGCGGATCCAAACTGGAAAATGACATTGAGAACGGTAGATTCTAATTTTTCAAATAGATTAAAAATGGTTGAAATGAAGTAGCAATGTAGTCAAGTGTTTCTAGATAATATATTATCACTCCTAATCGTCTCGGGGATAAATAATTGAAAGAAGGGATATCTTCAGATATCTCGGGAATAAATAATTGAAAAAAATGGATTTTTCCAGGGATAACTAAATAAAATTCTACTACACTGTTTGAATTTTTTTCAAATTTCAAGGAAAATATTATAGTAAATCTCATGAGAGTGACATCGAATCCGATTTAGGGAAACACTCGTTATAAATTTCAAGTTTTAAGTAGAATTCACGGAAATTCATGAGTTTTCAGTGGGAGTGAGATGAGAATTTCACAACTTGATTGAATTTTCAGTGCAATATGAATATTCAGAAATAAAACGACATGAATTTTCAATTTTGCTCAGAATTTTCCAGATTTTTCCCAATTTTTATAGAACAATTGAACCGAAAAATCAAGTATTTTATTGATTTTCAGATCATTTGAACAGAAAATCAATGGAATATTTGATTTGTCAATGACAAGATTTCTTGAAATTTCAGTGAAACTTGAACACGATAAAAATTTCCGGAATTTGGCACGGAATATTCAGACAACAATTTTCAACAGGTTACGAGCAAAATTGATTATCCAAGATAGATAAAATGGCCGTTTGGAATGCGTATATCTTTACTAAGATAGAGAACTGATTACCAGGATGGTAATAATATTCAGTGCAATGTTGATTACGGTCTCTTTAAGATCAGATCCTTTGCAATCGATACCATCTCAGCTACAATATTAATTGGGAATGTACGCTTCCGATAACATACAATTTCATTTCGTAAATGTGGATAATCTAGAAGGCCCTGGATGAAGAAAAGGTGAACACAAACATTCTATAACAAGCAGTATGGGTTTCGTTCATTTTCGAACTGGTCTCGAATCACGTCATTAAAACAAGTGTGCACAATTGCAAACCTTAAACCTCACCTCGCTCCTACTACACGTAGAGTGATCAATCAATGAATAATGCGGAATTGATTAAAATACATTAGTGAACGCTTCTATTGATCCATTGTTATCAGCACACACAGCAGGTGAGTGATAACATTCACTTAAGTTTAATATGAAAAGTGTGTCGGTGAAAGAATACCATGAGAATTCCAGCGATAAATTCTTTCTAATATATCGCGTTCGAATTGAAGTTGAAAAACTAATGCGAATGATTGACTCAGGGGTTAACATGGTTTTAAATCCGTCTTTATCTCTGCGCACAGTCCGCTACCATCTTCATCCTATTTGATAACATTAATTTGGGGGGATCAAGTATGACATGCTGCAGATGATACGCTATTTTATTGATTCCAAGATAGTGAATGTTATTGAACGTTATCAACGTCGTATTAAACTTGCGTCTGGAGAAACGTCGAAATCAGAAATCCGGATTATTATTACTCAAAGATAGAATTCGCTATTTACTAGTCGGCATGAATTCATAAGACTCTAGGTGAAATGATTCACGTTGGGCTTGGAACAAAGACCGAATTTTAAGTAAAGTTTGAAGTTAAATGGTGTTGACTCGATGGGCCAATGCCTAATTGTGACACAGTTTTGCCATTCTCACTATCAATTGGTTTTCCGGCCCAATCCAGATTAATAGATAACGAAATTTCAGAGATATAGTTGGTCTTTTCAGCGATAAAAAGTGTATTAAATCTATTAGTTCGCATTTTTTAGTCACACAGGATGGGGCCTCACCGCAAGAACTGGCTGGTGCTTGTGCCCATATTAGTTTTTGGCATTCTTCGAAATTGTGCTGCGTATCCGACAAGTGAGGATTCCATTGGTAACTACAACCATCAAAAATTGGTGCAGATTAATGGGAACAATCCAATTCACGTCAGAAGAGTTATTGAAGATGATGATAGAAAACTCGACTATCGCTTGCCAAATTTTGTTGTGCCTGAAAAGTACGAAATTCTTATTTCACCGAATCTGGATGGAGATGCATTCGCGCTAGACGGATCTGTGCTAATTCAAGCTCGCGTTTTTGAGGAAACAGACAGAATTGTGCTACATGTTGGAAAAATCAATGTGAAATTAGCTAGTGTGACGGAAGCTGATCCGAAGTTTCTTGATGACACAGATCGGAAGTTTCCTGCTCTAGTTAATTTAACTTATGAAGAGAAAACCGAGAAATTTTCGCTCATTTTGGACAGTTCGATTCCTAAGGATTCAGCCATTCTTATCGCTATTCAGTACAATGGGACATTGATGGATAATATGCTCGGATTTTACAAAAGCTCGTATTTTGATAAGGAGGGCAATCTCAAGTAAGAATTCATTTTTAAGTTAAGGTCAAATTGTCGCGATGACTTTGAATATTTTATACGGAAAGAAGGAGAAGAATAATATTTGGTGTATACTGATGAAAAAAGTTCTTTGTACGTGTTTACTTGGATCAAGAAATTCATGACCCAAAAATTGACAAGATATATATTACACTGAGAAAAAAATAGCTTTCGATACGGAATTTTGTAGTTATGCCAAAGGCGAAGATAATGTATGTCTGGCAAAAAAGTAATTTCTCAAATTATGTCTACACGGAGAGAAATGTTCAGTAAAAATTACGGAACACACAGTTCGTTCACCGATTACGGAATCGATTCGGAGAATTTAATTGACGGTATCGTAATTTTCAGAGGCGATTCAGCTAAAAATTGCGGAACGCTCTGGTAAAATTTCGTGATTTTAGATAAACATTACGTGACAGTTCCGTAAAATTTGCTACAACCACATCTCGCTACAGCATTACGGAAAAGATATGTAATTTTTATTCAATATTTCTCTCCGTGTAATAGAATCCATTCATTCAATAGTTTTTTAGTCTCAAATTTAAAATATTTTAATCCAAAAACCATTCCAAAAACAATCTAAAAAACACGTTTCCGGAAGTTGCTGTCTTGTTATGAACCAATTACTCCTCATCTTTCACTAAATTATTCTTCTCTTGTTAATTTTCAAACCATGTGTTTCTTGATAGAAAAGATGAACTACTCAAAAAACTTTTTCTCAGTGTATCGTAGGATTTTTGCCTGAATATTCACAAAAATGAAGCAAGTTTTTGTCAATGCAGAACGTTTCTTCAATGTATATTCTAGTAACTATAATTTCAAACGAATGTGATTACAGGCCTGTATACACTAAGAAAAAAAATTACTTTTGCCAAGGAATCATTTTCTTGGGCGGAGGCCAGTCATTCCCAGGTGGTCATCTCCAAATATTACAATTATGTTGAATGATGAGATGATTATGCTGCGTATGACGTTCAATGAACACCCTTCATTATTTTACAATTTTTTCAAATTTGAGGTTTTTTTACATAAAAAAATTTAGAATAATTCAAAATGTTAATAATTTTCAATGAAGTTAATTCAAGGTCACATGTCGCATACACAGAGAAAAAAAACAATTTTCGCAAAATATTAATTTACTGAACAGAAGTATTTATTTTTTCAAAATCCTGATTGGGTTTCAATTATAACAATCATGTTGCTCTAGAGAATGACTATGTTGCACATTACCTTGGATGAACTCCTCTAATGATTATTCATTTTTCCTAAATTTCTCATTTTCTAAAGAGAAGAATTTCGATCAATTTTTTAATGTTGATAATTATTGAAAACTTCATAATTAACATGATTGTCTTCTACAGCAATATAATTCACACAATTGAAATCTAATTAGGATTACCTGAGAATGACTCGAATGTAGAAATACAGTATTGAAAAAATAAATACTTTTCTCAAGTAAATGGATATTTGGCAAAAAAATTTTTTTTCTCAGTGTAATCATTCCATAATTCAACATAATTGTAATAGTCGGAGGTGGACTTGGACCACCAAGGAATGACTAGCCTGGAGAAATACGCTCCTAAAAAAAATAGAATGATTCCTTGGCAAAAGTAACTTTTTTTCCTCAGTCAAAACAAAATCTCATAGCATTGTAGAGGAAATCATGAGGACGGGGAACATGAACCACATCTTCATTGTTTCACATATCTTAAAAGAGGAAACGATTTAACAAAGTCATGGAGTCACCGACATTTTGATGATCTCATGCGACCCCTTTACTTTGGTCTATCGTTTTTCAGTTTCAATAGGAGATAAAGTCTTCAGCTTATCTCCAGTTCCTTTTTGCCTGTACACAATTGTCTAATTGACGGTAATTAGAACATCGATTTGGGTCAATATGAAGGATGCGGTGATCTAAACCAAGTATTTGTCTTCGCCAAAAAATTTTCATAATTTTTCATATTTTTGGGTGTTTATACCTGTTGTGTCCCCGTCGCGTACTATATTATATCTGATGTCTCTAAGAGGTTCGAATTCATTAACAGCAACTTGGGAGGACTTGGTTCATAGTAATATAAGCGGGGGTTTGAGCCTATCTGACAGAAGGCATTTGACCATTGTTTTTTGCGTTATTAGTCTTTTTGCTTCCGCATGGAAGCCGTGTTTTTGATCGATTTTTCGATTTTCTAATTTTGATTACAAATGGTCTAGAATGTTATGAAACGTGAAAAAATGATGTTTTTAGGGTCATGTCTGAATGTATGTATCCAACAACTTGGGTTTTGGGTGATTAATTTTTAGAAAATTCAACATAAATACGGTGAAATTTGTAGATAAAATCTGAAATTTTGGATCATTGGAGCTATTATTGAGCTCAACTTTGGTGTGCTGTTTCAGCCCGATGCCCCATAGTTCCTGAGATATAACAACTTGTTTAAATTTCGTTTTTCCGCAACATCTCAAGAACTGCTGCACTGTCTACAATTTTTTTTTAATACTCATGCTAATGGACTCTGTAGGCCAATCAGAATCCATAGACTCTTTAATACACAGTTTGGAGACATTGCCGTTTTTCCGTTTTTCATGAAAAATCTTATACGCACAATAACTGGTGAAAAAACGAAGATTGAAATTGAAATGAAAATTGGTATGATTATAGCTCGTACGATACTGAAGGGTGGTATTTTGAATAGGCGCAACCCGTCATGCAGTTCCGTAGATATTTAACCTTTCGTATCAATTTTTTTCCTTAAAAGATCGAATATTTTCCTGTAGACACCCTGTAGCACGTGGTTACGGTTGTATGTCTGTCCCAAGAATACGGAGTTGCTACAGATTCATTCGGAAGCAGACTGCCAATGGAATTGGTAGAAATATAAAAAAGAAAGGGACTAATGACGCAAAAAGTAACGGTCGCATGACTTCTTCTGGATAGGCTCGAATCCCTGCTTGTTTCTCAAGTTATCGCGCGTAAAATAATAATTTTTCTACTATTTGAGGTGTTCGTCTCCTCCATATTAATTTCGCTTCAAATACGTAAAATCAAAAGATCAATTTACTAAACTTTCCCATTCTTTAGCTGGATAGCCGCTACACAATTCCAAACGACGCATGCACGACACGCATTCCCATGCTTTGATGAGCCACATTTGAAGGCCAAATTTGACATCAAAATTTCGCATCAATCGTCGCTACAGAGTTTGAGCAATATGCCGCAAAGTCAGAATAAGCCCGTTGGGTAAATGATGGATATTCACACTCTTACGAAATATTGCTTCAGCACAAATAATCGAAACTAATCTTTCAGGAATTTAACTTGGGACGTCTATGAAACTAGCGTACCAATGTCCACATACTTAGTGGCATTCATGGTATTCAATTTCACATCGGTATCGAATAAAGATGGAAATTTCAATGTTTGGGCAAGATCTGAGGCTATTGATGAGGCAAACTATGCTCTCCAAATCGGGCAAAGATCAATCGATTACTTCTCTAATTTATTCAATGAAAGTTATCAATTGAGGAAAATGGATATGGTTGCTGTACCGGATTTTTCAGCAGGTGCAATGGAAAATTGGGGTCTAATCACTTACAGGGAATCGCGATTACTGTACGATCCCAGGAAATCGTCAGATGCTGCTCAACAGAGTGTAGCATCCGTAATTGTACATGAGTGTGCTCACATGTGGTTTGGAAACTTGGTAACACCTGAGTGGTGGGGATACTTGTGGCTCAGTGAAGCATTTGCCAGATATTATCAGTACTTTGCCACCGCCAAGGTATTATCGTTTAAATGACGTCTGAAATGCGTCGACTGAATCTCGAAAAGTATGAATATCATTGATTTCAGATGGAGCCGAGTTGGAAAATGGAACAGCAGTTCGTGGTGGAGCAACTTCAAACGGTTTTTGCCACTGATTCTCTGGATTCTTCTAAGCCTTTGTCCCGACAAGTTGAGAGCCAGGCGGAAATAGGAACTACGGGAGATACTATCACGTATTCCAAAGGGGCGAGCATTGTTCGGATGATGGATCTGTCATTCGGATCTTCTGAATTCAATTCTGGACTACAAGAGTATTTGAAATCAAAGTAAATTCCGAAGTCATTTCGTATATCATTGTTGATCATTGTTTTCGCTTCATTGTATCAAAAAACGGTTATAGAAATCGAGTTTATGGGTTTTCAATAAAATTTGTTATTTGAGGAGAAATAATTTCAATTGTTTTCGGAGGTATATGGAAAAGTTGCAAAAAATTGAACCCAATCGATTTCACTCCGTACACTGTTAAGAATTTTCCACTGAAATTTCCGGTAAGAGTCTTGGAAATTTCTAACATGTAACACTTCCGCTAAAATTTCAAGAAATTTTGACATTGAAAATTTACAACTCACACTTTTAGTTTAATTATTCCGGAAAAATTAATAAAAAAGCAAGGATATGCAAAGGAATTTCTCCCTGTGTTCCAGATTCCTCTCAATTCCAAAAGTTTAAAAAGAATTCCTTGAAAATTTGAGGGAGTTTGGCAGTGAATATTCATTTCCACTTGAAAATTCATGTAAATTATGAAATTTCCGTTTTCCTGCCGGTAAAAAATTGTGACTTCACTTGAATTTTCAGAGAAACTCAAAATTCCATTGATTTTTGCTCCATAAATCGAATTCAAAGCGTTTTTCCCGAAAATTCAGCTGAATTGTTTTAACAGTGTAGGGAAGGTGAACGGTCGCCATATTGGATGCGTACGGGTGGGTCAAAACACATTTTTTTAGTAGTAACTACACATCTGAGAAAAATCTCCTGAAGGCCATTTTTTTATTGTAGGACTTTAAAATTTCAGTAGTGTCCCCCTGAACATTTTTTCTACTTTTCTATATGCCTCATCACGTATTTAAAGTGATGGGCGTCTTCGCCAACATAAACTTCTCAATTCCACTGAAGCGTATTCTCTTAATCTTCCACTAAAATTATCCTCGATAGAAAAAACCGTCTTTGAATGAACGACTAGTTTTCTTAAGTCTACTGATTCATTGCTGCCTCTTTCGTTCATAGTAAATATAAGTCAACAAATCCTGACCATCTTTGGACTGCACTCGCGAAAAAAGTAAGCGCTGAAGGGATCGGTCTCAACGAACCACTGAAAAATGCCATGGATACCTGGACAAAACAGTCGGGCTATCCGAATGTACATGTCACAGTGAGCAATGGTTCATTATCATTAACTCAAAAACGCTTCTTCATTCGTAATCCGAAGAACACTGCCACCAACGTCACATGGTCGATTCCATTGTCATGGACAACGCGTAGTGAACGCAATTTCCAATCAACGAAACCTAAATATTGGTTTAAAACTGAAAACGAAACCGTCGATGTAGGAAGTAAACTGGACGAATGGGTGATAGTTAACGTACAGCAGAGCGGTATGTACATGAAATGGGATAAATATGGGCATTGTTACAAGAACATTGATAATTGAATGAACCGATATTTCATTAGGGTTCTATCGAGTTAATTACGACGAGGTAGCCTGGTATCGTATTATTGATGCTTTGAAAAGCCAGAACTTCGAGGAAATCCATGAACTTAATCGAGCGGCTCTTGTTGATGATTTGTTAAATCTCGCGAGAGCTGGAGATTTGAACTATAAGGTTGCATTTGATGGACTCGAGTATATTAAAAATGAAACCAATTATCTACCACTTAAATCGGCTCTCAATGGTTTTGACTATCTTCATAACCGTTTTGCTGGTGGAGAACACGAGGGTTTTTTGAAGGTAATTTTCTAGTTTTTGTGAACTTGAAAATGTATTTTTTTGTCGATGTATATTGACAATTCGTAAAGAATTATTAAATGCGTGAGAATTCCGTTTTCAATTTTTCCATACGCTCTGTGGAATTTATAAACGTTTTTTTACAGAATTTCACGTTTAATTTAATTTCGAAAATTCGTGAAAAGTTGGGATTTGAAGATCGGTCCACCGATGATCGATTGACAATTTTATTGAGAGCGGAGTTGAATACTTTGGCGTGCAAGTTGGATGACGAATTGTGTGTAAAAAAATCGCAGGAGTACTTTTCATCATGGAGAAAGAATGATACAGAAATGTATGAATAGAATTCACATAATTCCTCATATTTAATACCTATTGTTTTTCATTTTCTGATCCAAGATAGAAATGAACGTTGACATTTATTTTAGAATTCCAAAGAATCACATATCAGCCATCTATTGTTCAGCAGTAAGACATGGAACATTTGAAGATTGGGAGGCATTACATGATAAATACGTTAATTCTCACTGTGCAGTGGAGCAAATCGTAATTTTGAATGCTCTGGCATGTACACAGAATAAGACAACATTGGAAACGTAAGAATTCTGAGAATCCGTTGAAAATTCCGGAGAGACTAATTCACTGCACTTTTAGATATCTACTTTCTGCAATTACTAAATACATACAATCTCGCATTCGCAAGCAGGACAGTAGAACGATTTTCAATGCAGTCTCCAGTTCAAGTTTGGTTGGAGCTGAATATATTCTGGAGTTTGTTACAAAATACCATGCGAAAATGGTAGAATAGTGAGTATTACACGCTCCTTCACTATTTATTACGCATGTAAAAAAAAAAACAATGACGAACTTTCGCTTTTTCTTTTAATATTTTTTCCGATTCCGATTGAAAATTGAATAGCTTTCCTGCACGATCTTCATAAAAACATTAATAATGAATATTTGTTTTTAAAAATCAATAGATTCTCATTTTTCTAAATTCGCTTGATATTTCTATTACAACTTTGCTTTGAGAGCAAAAGTTTCTTCTAGAATTTCATGACTCGAAAAATCCGTTGTGCTCATCCAATATTTATTGAAGAGGTTTAATGAAAAAATAGAAAGGTTTCGATAATTATTGTTTTTCCTTGAAATTGAAAAAAAACTGATAGATATTCCAAAAGAATCTCAATAAAATCTAGATGGAATTCGAATCCATTTTTATATAAATTTCGCAACTTTCGTTATTGTTTCTCTTGAATTTTGTCACATGTGACTATACTGAGAGAAAAAATTACTTTTGACAAAAATAATTTCCTTAGTATAAGAAAATATTCTCTAGTCAATTTACAGAATTGTGAAAACTCCTGGTAAATAATTTTGTGCTCACACTAAGAGAAAGAAGTCTTTCAACAGGATGAGATTCTCTTCTCCCGTGAAAATTTTCAAGTGTTAGCATAAGCCTTCCCATCAATTCATATAGTTTGCGTTATATCTAGAATTTAACGGACTGTGAGAACTCCCATTTTTCCGATCTAATCACTCGTCATTTCCAACTGAGGAATTCATGTTTCAATTACATGACGAACACTTTCATTATCAATTCAAGTGTACAGAAAAATGATCTGAAGTGTTGTGCTCTTTATGCAAAATTTTATGTAATCAAAGTCCCGATGAAAATAAAAATTCTAGATATAACGCAAACTATATGAATTTATGAGAAGGACATCATTTCTAGTCTTGAGAACGCTTAAAAATTCTCTCGGGACAAGAAAATCTCATCCTGTTGGAAAACTTTTTCTCGCAGTCTGAGAACGAAATTATTTTTCAGATAATTTCACGATTTTAAAATTGAAAAGAGAATATTTTTTTGTATCAAATAAACCTTCCTTGTCAAAAGTCATTTTTACTCTCAGCGCAGAAATGAAAATCAATCAGTCAATGAACATAGAAAAGAAGTATTGCCTGTAGCAAAATACATTATTCTTCTTATTTCATCGAACATTACGCCATTCTTTTCACACGCAAAGAAATAAAGTGCGTAACGTAAAAACTAAAAAAAATTCGTTTCAAAATTTTTTCATTTGTCTATTCAACGTTCAAATTTTCAGTAACGTTTTATCTTCAATCAGTCTTGCCTTTTGACATTATTCTGTTATCTATTTTCTAGTTATGGGAACAATGATGCTATTGCTAGTATCTTATCAGCTGCATCTCAACGTTTTTCGACAAAGAAACTCATCGATAACTTTGAAAGTTTCGTAAGAGCAAGTGGCAATATCTTGGTATCTGTTCAAGAATCTCTAGACCAGTCACTTGAACTTACAAAGTACGAACTAAAGTGGTACAATGAGAAATCCGCAGCCATAGTCGATTGGATCACTGCTTACAATGCGAGACAGGAGGAGGGAAAGAATCCCTCTATTGATGGGAATAATTATATATTACCCAAGAGCATTATTCCTCAAAGTTATATCATCAAGGTCACACCTTATATTACTCCTGGAAACTTCACATTTGATGGATTTGTTAGCATTACCACTCTAGTTGTGGAAAAAACTGACAAAGTTGTTCTCCATATTCATGAAATCAACATCCGTAATATTACTCTATGCGTTAATGGCGCTGAGCTGAATATAAATGGCAGCAATGAATTGAAAAAATATCAATTATTGGTATTGACGCTCGAGAAACCCTTAGCGACGGCATCACCGTTGATCATTGAAATTTCATATACTGGAATTTTGAATACGATTATGAAAGGATTCTACAGGAGTTCCTACATCGATGCGAATAATAATACTAGGTTCGTACATTTCTGACTGCTTTTTTGATTGTTTACATGAACACATTTTGATTGAAAGAGCGCCATCAATCATCAGTTGTTACTCCTAGTTGTTAAACCTAGTCTGGTCACCCTACGCGAGCCGGTGACTTGGTCACCTCCGCGCGAATATACCGCCGTCTCGAGTCGAGGATTTGGTTCTGATTTGACGTACACAGGTCTTTCAAGATCTCTCCAGAACTAGGTGGACCTGGTAAGTCCTAATCAGTTCTGCGACGTACTTTTCCAGAGACCTTTCGAATCCTCAGTTCTTTTCGGTCCTGAGAAGTCCTCCTCGATGCTACCGAGAACGCGTGATTTTACGAGCGGGTGAAGGGGAAGGCATGTATGCGGAGGGTTGAAATTTGTAGCCAACGAGGAGACAGGGTTGCAGAATATATTTTAGCCACCCTCATCTACCCGTTTGCAGGCGGTGTTTAAATAAAAAATAGTGAACGTTGATTCTGTATTTATTGACCCCCTGAT